CGTGGCGGGGGCTCAGGAGGGTTCCTGGAGCACATCTTCATCCACGCTGCCCGCGAGCTCTTCGGCATCCACGGCGCCTCCATCCACTACAGACCCCTCAAGTAAGGAGCTGTAACCCCACTGGAAACTCTGGGTTTTTTTCAGGAATTCTCTCCCTGTTGATAGGCTGAATTTTTGGGGTTTTTTTTGCAATGTTAAAGTTCACATCCAGGCTGAGATTGGCTGCTCCGTCCTCCAGCTGCTCAGCAATGAATCAGCCAATATTAAATAAATCAGCCAATATTAAATAAATCAGCCAATTCCAGGGAGAATTCCAGCCCCACCCTGGAGTTTGGCCTGGTGGATTTTCCCACTGATAATTTTTAGAATAATTATAAAATTTTAGAGTAATTGAGAAGGCAGAGCAGGGATTCCTCACCTTGGATCAGGCCAATCAGGGAGATTTGTCACTGATTATTGATCCCAAAAAACCTTGTGGGAGGGTTTTGGGGCTCTGTTTAACTGTAGTAAAACACAAAATTAATCACTGAGTTTGGGCATTAAGGCTCATCCACCTGAGATTCCTTCTGCCTTCCCAGCTCTAATTTAATGTATACTTTAGAATTAATTATATCCCTAAGGAGCAATTTTTATGTTTAGGATTCCCTGGTTTAGGAAGCAGAAAAAACAGTCTCAAAAACTTGATAAAAATCAAATTACTTACTTTTTTATCAGGACCAGGTATTCCCACTAACCTTAGAAATCTGGAATCCTCAGTCAGGTTTTGCTCCCATGTTTTATAATCCAGCAGAAGTCAAAAATCCCCAGTTGATGTTGGCTGAAGGAACTCAGGTCTGTCAGGGAGGGGCTCCCTGTGCTGAGCTTTTTTAGGCTTTATCCAGCACAGGTGTCCTCCAGCAAACTCTGCTCAGGTGGCTCCAGGAAGGTTCTGGAAGGAATTCCTTCCTGTTTTCCTTGCGTGGCCCAGAACTGGGACAGCTCTTCAGTGAGACTCACCAAGAATTTGGGTCTTGCTCTTTGAAGCTTAAAATAGATTTTAATAGATCTGGAGAAGCCACTTGCTGTGCTCTGCTCCTCAGGAACAAGGACTTGCAGGAGGTGACCCTGGAGAGGGACGGGCAGGTCCTGCTGCACTTTGCCCTGGCCTATGGCTTCAGGAACATCCAGAACCTGGTGCAGAAGCTCAAGAGAGGGAAGTGCCCCTATCACTACGTGGAGGTCATGGCCTGTCCCTCAGGTGAGGCTGCTCCAAAGCCTGGGGGAGCTCCAGGGCATTCCAGACAGGAGAAAAGGGAGATTCCTCACCCCCTTGGGCTGTAGCTGTTGGCATGTTTTCCAATAACTCCTCAGGATTTAAAGAATTGCAGCTGAATTCCGTCACACAACATTTTCATAATTAATTGCTTTAAGGAGGATTTCCTGAGCTCTGGTACCTGAGGGGATTTTCCCCCTGAAATTGCCCAAACCTGACATCACACTGACAGAAAATACTGCTGTGGCTGGTGGAGGAATATTCAATATTTGATTCCATTTTCCCTGTGCTGCTGTTGGTTCCCTTGGAGCTGCTCCTTCCCAAGGACCCTCCCAGCCCCCAGAACTCATCCCAGGCACTTTTCCCTTTCCTGCAAGGCTGGGCTCCCTGGGCTGGGCTCAGGCTCCCTCCTGGGGGCAGCAGATAAGAGATAAGAGCTGGCAGAGCCCCAGCTGGAGGCAGCCCACATCTCCCTGCTGCTGGCAGATAACTGGGAGGGCACCTCTGTCCCTGGGCTCTTTCCATCCCTGCAGCCCTTTGCAGGAGCAGGATAAGTGACCTGGAATTTCTGAGGATGTTTTCCCAGCTGAAGTTATTGGAGTTATTAATCTCTTTTGTTTTTTTTTTTTTACCCCCCAGGCTGTCTGAATGGAGGAGGGCAGATCAAACTGGAGGGGGAATCCAGCAAGGAGGAGCTGCAGCAGGTGGAGAGGCTGTATGGATCCCTGAGGGCTGAGGAGCCTGAGCAGAACCAGGCAGTGAGGGAGCTCTATGAGCGCTGGCTGGGGGGCTGGGGCTCAGCCAGGGCCCTGCAGGTGCTGCACACCCAGTACCACGCTGTGGAGAGAGCCAGCTCTGCCCTCAGCATCAAATGGTGAGAGCCTCAGTGCCTTCTGAGCTGCACTGCTGAGCCTCCAGGGACTCTGGGCAGCCCTGCCTCTGGAAAAGGGCCTGGCACTGCTCATTGAGCCCAAATCTGCCTCTGGAAAAGGGCCTGGCACTGCTCACTGACCCCAAATCTGCCTCTGGGGAAGGGCCTGGCATTGCTCATTGAGCCCAAATCTGCCTCTGGGGAAGGGCCTGGCACTGCTCATTCACCCCAAATCTGCCTCTGGGGAAGGGCCTGGCACTGCTCAATCCTCCAGCTGGAGAAGATGGGAATAAACCCCAAACCTGCCTCTGGGGAAGGGCCTGGCACTGCTCATTGACCCCAAATCTGCCTCTGAAAAAGGGCCTGGCACTGCTCAATCCTCCAGCTGGAGGGGATGGGGATAAACCCCAAATCTGCCTCTGGGGAAGGGCCTGGCATTGCTCATTCACCCCAAATCTGCCTCTGTAAATGGGCCTGGCACTGCTCAATCCTCCAGCTGGAGGCTGAGGTGAGGGCAATAAACCCCAAATGTGAGGTGATGGGAATAAACCCCAAATCTGCCTCTGGGAAAGTGCCTGGCACTGCTCAGTCAATCCTCCAGCTGGAGAGTGAAGGGGTGGCAATAAACCCCAAATGTGAGGTGATGGGAATAAACCCCAAATCTGCCTCTGGAAATGGGCCTGGCACTGCTCATTCCTCCAGCTGGAGAGTGAAGGGATGGCAATAAACCCCAAATGTGAGGTGATGGGAATAAACCCCCAATCTGGCAGGGACACAGCAGGAGAGGCAGGAGCACCTCCCAGGCTGATGGGACAGCCCCAGAACTGCCAGAGCTGAGGAGCTGAAGGATTCAGAGCTCAGCTCCAGGCTCAGCTTTGTGCCACAGCCCAGTGTTCCTGCCCCAGGCCCTGCTGGGCTGTCACAGCACTCAGATCTGTGCCTGCCCCTGCTGGAACAGCCCCAGCCCATTGGAAAAGCTCTCCTGAGCCTGGAGCTCTCCCTCTCACTGGGTCTGTGCCCCCAGAGAGGGGATCCAAGGCTTGGGATCATCCCTGGGGCTGCAGAGGGACTGGAGGGAATGCTGGACAGAAACCCTGTGATTCCTTTTCCTTAAATTATAGTAATTTATACCAAGGGCAGTTCCTTCTCTGTGTTTTATTCCTGAACACTCAGCAGGGAGTGACAGAACTGTCACCCTTACCCAGCCTCAGCAGCCACTTCCTGAGGGATAAAATCCCCAAATCCAGACAGAACAGGCACTTACAGCTGGATAGCATCCTGAAATTACCACAGAATAATCCCTGACCTTGGGGCTGGCAGGAACCAGAGCCCCCTCTGCACTTTGTTCCAATGAATCTACAGAACAAATGGTGAATTTTCATGTTTTTAATTAAAAGCTTTCCATTTTTCAGCTGTGGCTGATCATTCATGACTTCACAGTGTTCTAAAGGCATCAACCCCCTCCCCTCCTTCCTGAGGAGCAAATTGGTGCTTCCAGAGAATTCCCTTTGCCGTGCAGGGAATGCCAGGGAGGGGCTCCAGGCTGGGCTCAGCACAGCAGCCCAGAAATGCACAAAATTCAGAGAGGCTGAATGGGCTGGGAATGAAACCCCCATTGGGTTCCCAGGTCACCAACACACCCAGAGGTGACAGGGCCACCCTGGGCTCCCTGTTTGGCACCACAACAGCTGGAATTGGTCCCAGTTTGGGCTGTGGGATTGAATTTGTCCCAGGCTCAGGGCTGGGTCACACCCACAGGGGCTTCCCTGCTCCCAGGAGAAATAAAATCCCAAATGGGACATCCAAAATCCAGCATTTCATGGGAACTGAGGGGTGAAGCCATGGTACCATTTTGCAGCTGGATAAATCTTTTCCCTTTCATGCAAAGGAAATACAAACTATAACTTAATAAAAGGAAAAACAAACAAAAAATCAACCCAACTTGGTTTGTAGCACAGGAAAAGGCCCCAAACCAGACTCCAGTGGCAACAAAGAAATTCACAGTCCACACATGAAAATCCCTGAAATAACTCTGTCCCAGTGCTGGGAGCTGCCATCAAACACTCATTTTCTTCACAAAAATAAAAAAAGTAATTATTTCAGTGGTGTGAAGAGCCTCCCCACAGCTGCAAATAAAACTCTGCTCCTTTCTCAGGCAAAAATAAATAAAACACAGCCCTGGTTTTGCACCAAGGGAAGGCCTGGGAGCCCCAGCTGCTCCCTGGCTCTTGGCAAGGCAATGTCCATGGGGTTGGCACCGAGTGTTTCCCAGTTTTAATCTTGGAAAAAGCAAAAAAGCAGAAAGGGATGCATGGCATCACTTTGTTCTGGGCTGCCTAAACTCTGTCCCACCTTGGGGAATCCTCCTGGGGCTGAGCCTGCTCCACATGGACACCCCACATCCCAAGGGCTCCCCAAGGCAGCCACGGCCACAAATCCCTGCACAAATCCCTGTGGGACCTGCTGGAAAATGGGGGGGAACCCACCCAAACCCTGCTGTGATGGATTTGCCAGCACAGGGCTGGAGCTGGGTGGGTTCTGGTGACACCAGTGACTCCCCAGTGTCCCATGGTGGGGATCCAAGTGTCCATCAGCCAGGACACTGGGCCAGAGGGGCTGGAGCAGGACAGGCAGGGCCAGGAGGGCTCCCAGGAGTCCCAAACACATCCCAGCAGCCCTGGATGGGGATGCAGGGCAGGCAGGGGCTCCATGGGCACGGCACCACATCCTGAGCATCCCTGCAGCCCTGCATCCTTCCATGGCAGCTCCCCAAACTGGCACTGTGCCCTGCTCCAAGCCACATCCTGACCCTCTGCCAGCCCCCCGAGGGGGTCCCACAGCCTGGGATCCCCCCAAAGGGACCCAGGAGCTGCACAGGAACCCCAGGAGCCAGGGGGGAGCAGGGCAGAGCAGAGCAGCCTCACGCAAGCAGCCTAAAGACAAAATGCAGCCCCCAAAGCCAGCTGGGAGCCAAGCTGAGCTGGGCCCAGCCAGGGGGAGCCCTGGCACCTCGGGGTGTCACTTCTTCTCCAGGAAGGGCCCGAAGAGCCCCCAGTCAAAGGCCAGCATGGCCTGGGGGTTGGGCCTCTCCTTGGGCTTCTTGAAGGTGTCCCTGTGGGAGCGCAGAGCCCTGAGCACCTCCACGGGCTCTGTCCTGCCCGTGAACCTCTGCACGGCCTCCTCCCTGCAGGGGACAGCCCTGTCAGCCTGGGGACACACCCTGGGGACACAGCCCTGTCAGCCTGGGGACACATGGGGACACAGCCCTG